GATCGAAAAAGCCCCGATTTCTATAGCGTCACGTATTTCATGAACGGTCCCTCATCCCTGAATTTTGATCCGTGATCCAAAAAAAAGTTTTGCGGTGGCGAGTGGAATTTAATCTTGGTACCTGCCTAATCCTTCCAAAAAAACAAAAATAAGATTTTCGTACAAAATTTCGGCCCAATCCTAAAAATTTCAGTAATTACCTAAAAATAAAAAAAAAACAAATAAAAATAAACAATTTTGCCGTGGCGAGTGGAATTTAATATTGGTACCTGTCTAATCCAACCGGAAGTGCTACCGGGTGGCGATGGATGCCGATGGATTCCGTTCGATCCTGGGTTCACACAACACTCGATGGAGATCACTCGCGGGTCGGACAACGATTTTCGAACGCGATGAGCGGCGCGCGGGAGGTATCGATGGACTGATCGCCAGGCGTCGGAACGCGACGCCGATGCGCTTCGCCGTGACGCGACGCGACGCCTATCCCCGTGGGGTGCCCAACGGCCAGCGGGCGCCACCGGATGTGCTGCACCGGCTGTCGAATCCTAGGAGCTACAACGCTTTGCGATCAAAAACTACCCCCGGAAAATATGGAGAGTATGGATTCTATTTGCATGAATCGATTAAAAAGTAAAAAAGTGATTCGATCGATTAGCACCGATTCGATCGAAAAAATTCGATTGAGTCGAGGTTTTGTTAATCGACCTACGGATATTCTGCCATTCTAAGGAAAAACGCCGTATGAACCTTCAGGCATTGCCAAGTTTCCTTACATAAAAAACGAATTTACTGAGAAACTTGTGAATATTTTTTTCCAAAATGTTTGGACACTTTTGTGTGCAATTTAGCCTAAAATACCTGAAAATTTCATAGAAAAATGTGCATGATTTTCGTCAAAAGTACATGTTTCATCTAGGGAAATTTGGCAACTCTTGAATGTTCATACGGCGTTCTTCCTTAGCACGGCAGTATTGGGGATCGACTCGCGGATTTTGTCGATCAATTCACAGATTTTGTCAATCGACTCAAGGGGTTTGTCGATGGATTCAAGGTTGTATCGATCGATCCAAAAATAAATTCCACTGGCATAAATCTATCGAAAAGTAAAAACGCGAATCGATCGATTGGCACCGATTCGATCGAAAATATTCGATTGATTCGAGGTTTTGTTAATCGACCTACAGATTTTGGGGATCGACTCGCGGATTAAATCGATTGACTCGCAGATTTTGTCGATCGACTCGCGGATTTTGTCGATCAATTCACAGATTTTGTCAATCGACTCAAGGGATTTGTCGATGGATTCAAGGTTGTATCGATCGATCCAAAAATAAATTCATTTGGCATAAATCTATCGAAACGTAAAAACGCGAATCGATCGATTGGCACCGATTCGATCGAAAAAATTCAATTGATTCGAGGTTTTGTTAATCGACCTGCAGATTTTGGGGATCGACTTGTGGATTTTGTCGATTGACTCGCGGATTTTGTCGATCGACTCAAGGCGTTTGTCAATGGATTCAAGGTTGTATCGATCGACCCAAAAATATATTCGATTGGCATAAATATATCGAAAAGTAAAGACGCGAATCGATCGATTGGTACCGATTCGATCGAAAAAATTCGATTGATTCGAGGTTTTGTTAATCGACCTGCAGATTTTGGGGATCGACTTGTGGATTTTGTCGATTGACTCGCGGATTTTGTCGATCGACTCAAGGCGTTTGTCGATGGATTCAAGGTTGTATCGATCGACCCAAAAATATATTCGATTGGCATAAATATATCGAAAAGTAAAGACGCGAATCGATCGATTAGCACCGATTCGATCGAAAAAATTCGATTGATTCGAGGTTTTGTTAATCGACCAGCAGATTTTGAGGATCGACTTGTGGATTTTGTCGATTGACTCGCGGATTTTGTCGATCAATTCACAGATTTTGTCAATCGACTCAAGGGGTCTGTCGATGGATTCAAGGTTGTATCGATCGATCCAAAAATAAATTCATTTGGCATAAATCTATCGAAAAGTAAAGACGCGAATTGATCGATTGGCAACCGGACCATCCGAACCATTAGAGAATGGACCATGGACCATCAATCGAGGTTTTGTTTGCAAGTATTCAATAAGTTTTATTATGATTCCTTGTTTTTAAACCAGCATCTGTTACGCAAACCTAAATCTGGAAAACCCCTTAGATTTTAATGGAAAAATTCTGAAACAAGATGTTTACTCATTTTACTGCGGCGGTGTTAAATAGAAAGGACTGACAACAAATCTACTCAACATTATGTCAGTGAATGGGATGGCTTGAAGTGCAAGTTGTAATAACTTGGTTCAGACTGAACCTAGTAATTAAACAGCTATTAAGAGTCGGTCGCTTAAGGTTTACAGTCAAGCGCGTATTAAGTTTTTCTAAAGATTTAATATTTCATCATTTTCTTCCCGCCCATAAATTATGGGAAACTCCGTATGACTTAAAAAAAACCCTTCATGAAGAAATTTGAAGTCTGCCTTTGAAATGATGTATGTGTCTATGTGATGATGTGATGTATGTGATGTTTGATATGTGATGCAAGCATCGGCGTCGTAATTTAAAATCCTAATGTGAATTTGTAAGAAAATTTCGAGAGAGTAGATCTGCAGTTGCACCCTAAAAACTAACAAACTAGACAGACTTTCACACATTCACGTCCCAATTTTTGTCAAAAAAACTTTCTGCCCGTGTTTGGACGATAGTAGACGTCACGATGAACCTCCCCGCCGAGAGAAAAAAACCCGGAAAATTCAAAAGAAAATATTTAGAAGACATTCAAGGATATTCGTATTTAATCAGAAAATACATGAAAATGTCAGAGGGTTCACACGGCGAATTTTCTTTTTTTTTTTTTGAAAAAGAAGCAGAGTAAATTTGTTAAATATATAAAAATTTCAAAGAGAATCCTTTATAAAATTCAAGAAAAAATATTTCAGACATTTCTAGAATATTCATTTTTCACTGGGATTAGGGCAATACCATAGTGCTGCCGTCCTCGGAAGACCGCCGTATAAGCCATCATTCGTTATCAATTATCTTCGACTGATAAAAAATGTTCAGGAAAATTTGTGAGGATTCTTTCCTAATTTCGGGAAAATTTCGTTCATAATTAGAACTAAAAAGTCTGAACATTTCCAAAAAAAAAAAAAAAAAAAAAAAAAAAGTTTTAACTTTCCTTAAAAATAAATATGTTCCCAGACGAAATTTGGCAACATTCGAATGCTCATTCGGCGTATTTACTTGGCATAGCTGAGTATTCTGCCATGCTAAGGAAAAACGCCGTATGAACCTTCCAGCGTTGCCAAATTTCCTTCGGTAAATAAGGAATTTTCGGGAAAATTTGTAAATAGTTTTCCTCTGATTTTTTCGACAATTTTGCTCCCGATTTCACCGAGGATTCTATCAAAGTTCAAGGGAAAAATATTCATTACTTCCTTCAAAAATAACTATTTTCTGAGAGGAAATTTGGCAACTATCGAATGTTCATACGGCGTTCTTCCTTATCTCCATCCGTAAGGGTTTTTAGTTCAAATGACTTATCTGAACTTCAGTGCCGATGAGAATCGACTCACTGTGCGAAGAACTCTTAAAAAATCGGTATCTGACCAGTCTGCACGCCACACGCTCGGCTGGTTAGTGAGCCACAAATAAGAAGCAGCCTCATTACTGCGCGGAGCGCAGTGCGAAGGAGTGAAAGCACGAGTCAGCATGTCAGGCGGAGTGACGAATTGACAGAGAACGCTGTCTATCAGGAATTCCGTATGAGCCCTTGATCGTATTGGAGTACACTGCAACTATGGCTCATAATAAAATATAGTTAGCTCTCTTCCGCTTACCGTTGTCCAATTGACAAGTCGCAGCGATGAATTCAGATTCGGAGTGGAATGCCATTCTGCCGTGCTAAGGAAGAACGCCGTATGAACATTCGAGAGTTGCCAGATTCCCTTCGATAAAATGTTTATTATTGAGGAAATATATGAAAATGTTTCCTTGGAATTGTCAGGAACTTGAGTCTAAATTGCGAGCAAGATTATCTGAAAAATTAGAGGAAAAACATTCATAAGTTTAGCAGGAAATTCGTGTTATATCAAAGGAAATTTGGCAACGCTTGAAGGTTTATAAGGCGTTCTTCCTTTGTGCGGCAGTGTACTGCCGTACAAAGGAAGAACGTCGTATGAACATTCGAGAGTTTTCGCCAAATTTCCCGGAAAAAACACGTATTTTTTAGGAGAGGTATGCATATTTTTTCTTGAAATTTTCAGAAGACTTGGATGAAATTGTAGACAAAACTGTCTGAAAAATTAGAGGAAAAATATGAGCGGAGGATCTCTACCGTGACAGATTCCTGTGGCGGGTAGGTGTCGCAGAGCGCCCTAGCGCGCCGTAAAAGCGGCTCATACATACTTACAAATATGAGCGACTTTCCCGATAAATTCGTATTTAATCGAAGCAAATTTTGCAGCGCCTGAAGGTTCATACGGCCTTCTTCCTCAGTACGGCAGTGTACTCTTCCATCAATGTGCATTGGCGGATCCAGCAAGTTGGCAACATTGTTTTTCTTAATTTAAACCTATGGAAATGTATCGATCTTGGAGGGGACAAGAATCGATTATGTGACATAGGAAACATAGGTGCACATAGGTGTAGGGAATCCGGTGTTGCCAAATTACAGGATCCGCCCCTGTCAATGTGGCACTGTGGTGAACGGTTAAGGAAAAGGAGAAGGTTGTAACCAAGTGTACTCTTCATGGCATGACCGGACCAAGCATTAGACCACTGAACAAAATTTAGACGTTTCTATCAAAATGTTGTATAGAACACAGCCGTCATTCTAAGATGAAATTCATGGGTCATTTTTATAGTAATTTATTTTTAATAATTTAAATATTAATTTTAGGAGCTTTAAATACCGCAGTGTGCGATTGCATCTTGGTTAAAATGGTTTTGCTCTGTGTGTTTCAGTGAAACCAACCGCGGGTATGAAGTGTTCCTTGGCCCACAACATTCGTCAGTGTTTTGCCAAGGAAGGGCAAAAGGTGAGTACCGGCATCACTATAACCTTATCCTAGCACGACCAAAAACGCGGTAGCACCATTGAAATAATGATCCTAAAACTCTCTTGCTGATATACACATTCAGCCAGAGATCCATTTGTACCACAAATACTTTTTTTTGCTATGCTGTAGGCTTGTCTCAGAACTATGCCGGTAGTGGACATGTATCAATAGGCAGAGCAATTTCCTGTAGAATAAAACTACATAGCTGGGTTTGGGAACGAATGGGTACTCATTAAGCACGTAATAATTGTTACTGTTTGGGTACTCATGTGTTCCAAGTAAGCATCACATTTCACGAAGATACCACTATTCGACCTCGAGAGAGCTTGTGTTGCCTACATCGAAACTTGTAGGCGCACAGTCAATGCATTAGAATCATCTCCTCTCCTGCTTCGGTGAAAGTATACTTTTTCATTGACGGTGATACCACATTTCAACCATATGGACGCCCATGCCCATGTTGCCTACACTGACATATCGATAGCCGAAGTACGAAACCACGTATCTCCGGTTGCGACGTTGCAGACGTCCTGTCCTGCTTTATTTTTTCTTTGGAAAACCAGTCAACTTAATTTCTTGAAAATTACCTTAAGATTTCTTCTTTATCAGCAAAATATTCCGTAAAAATTTCAAGCTATGTACCTACTTGACCTGTTTCTCCGCGAAAAAATATATTACTGGAGCAGAGATTTTGAAACTTCGCAATGAGTATACGTGGTTTCTCACTACTACCACCGATATGTGAATTCCAATTTATTGTCCTCAGTTTTCATATTTTCACTTGTATTTTCATAACATATCTTTCTAGCTACATTTTTCTTAACACATACCTGTTAATTTAAAGATTAAAACATTCATTCCGCCAATCCTATTTGAATTTGATATATCAGTCTCTACAATTTATGGAGGCCTCACAAAAGTAAGCTCATTGCGAGTTGTTTTGAAAAAAAAAAGGGGGGGGGTCGTGACAAATGTTACGTAATTATTTTGAAGGATTCTTCACCAGCGTAACATGGGCGTTGCAAGGGGTGGATGCATGGGTTTCAAAAAATCTGAAAAACCGCGCTAGTAATCTATCAACAGTCACTGAAACTTTTAAGCAACTTGACATATTCATTCTCTTAAGAAAAATATAAACTATCTATTGAAATTTAGCATATCTGGTGTCACTCGGTTTTCTCGAGAGACACTGCCCAAAATTTTAGCTCTTAAAGAAAAAACGTTATTATATGAAAACTTCAGCTTCAATTATTTTTCTGTCCCTGCAAAAGCTCGCAAAATCTCTACATCCAAAATCGTAGGTTTGTCAATTTGAAAATCCTTCGAGTTCTCCCCGTGGATTATCCAGGAAAATATGCATCAAAAATCACTCACTGATGTTTCCTTAGTCGATCATTCCTGGCCACTAACCTTTTGTCGAGGCCATTAAAATATCTTAGTCACATGACACCTGATTTGAGTTCATCAACAGTATGCGGAAACTGTGGACCGCCCTGAGCTACTGGCAAAACCAAAATGTGAAATATAATTGATGTGCTAATGGGTATGGTTGATTACTGCGCATTAACTATCTTCATCTGGGTGGCTAATCTGATTTTTTTACGTTTGAGCATTCGTGTCTGGATTGTTTTCACTGTGTTTGAATATACCACTGGACAGAGTTGATCATAATGGGATATTATTTAAAAGGTTTCATACTAAAAACGGTACAAATATTAAATACTTGACAATATCCATTTATGAGTGTTCGTAGGTTAAAATCTCTAAAACAGCAGTCCGTAACAATGGTGATATCAAAAACATCAGAGAAAAAAACGGGAGACAAGGCTAAAAATTACACATGAAGATCCAAGACGTTTCGGCGAAAAACTGAGCCATTTTCAATCGGAAATATATAAATAAAATATAAAAATTCCAAATAGAAACCTGCAGACTACATGATAGCCGAGAAAATCAAAACAGAGAGAAAAGTGTTTATGAGTGTTCTCTGTTCTATATCTATCAGGAGAGCGATTTTTCTTAGTGCGGGTCGAGAAATCGGTATTTAAGCGCTCATAAATATACAAGCTTTTTCAGTAGGACTAAGTCTTCCAAGAGCCTTCGTTACACCATCAGTTTTCGAACTGAACTATGCAGTGATAAAACCGAATCATAGCTACCCCGGTAAAAATTGGCGATAAGAGCTTCGTTTCAAAATACCATAGGAATTCTTATGGCCGGCTAAAGAAGGCTACAGAAAATCATATAGCTGGCTGTAGAATACGGAGAAAATCATACGGCCGGGCTGTACGAAGCGATAAAAAATCATGCAGCCGGGCTATAGTTCCTATAGCCGGGCTTTACACTTTATAGCTTGGCTGTTGCTTTTTCGCCATCGATTATAAAAGGCTATCAGGAATTGTGTATAAATTCGTGTGCTTTGGAAATCATTAAGTTTGTTACGGAACCACCTTAATATTTACAAAACACGTTATATTTTTCTTTAATACATATTTTTTTTCATCAATGAAAACGAGAATAATCCATACAGGATGTGCAAACATTTGAAAATCTTGAGTTGAATAACGCTGACTCCGCCAGATTAAATACTAGAGCCTAATACAAAGCGGAGCGGCGACGCACTGGCGCCTACAAACCTAACAGGGATACTTCACGCATTGCGCAACGCGTGAAGTATCCCTGTTAGGTTTGTAGGCGCCAATGCGCGTGTAGCGCTGGCTGCCCGTCTGCCGCGCCGCCAGCGTGCCACGGCGCTTGAAGCAACTATTTCACACCAGAGGTATTGCACAGTATCATACGAAACTGAAGGCGCTCTAATATATTAGGAATGACAGGCATCCATCAAAAGTACGGAGCGTTCCTCGAAAAATAAATCAAGATACTACGGCCCAAAAAGAGAGCAGTGGTCCAAAAACTCGCTAAGTCCTAATTTAGTCCGTAATTAGTGACGTTTAGATTACGCTTTATCGCCTGGCCATTGCTTAATCGCCATCGGCTATAAAAGGCTATAAGAAATTGTGTAGCCGGCTATAGAAGCTATTGGAAATCTTACAGCCTGCCGTAGGTCTATGGTATTTTGGAACAAAGATTCTACTGCCAATTTTTACCAGGGTAGGTAACGTCAATGTGGTTGTATATACGTAGAACTTTGTAGAGCGACTCAATACTCAATCGATCAATTGACAGTTTTTGGTTTTTGGGACTCTCCCCTAAAAATGCCCGAAAATTGGAACCTGCTGAAATGCATCAGGTATTTATCCTCAAGATTTGTCATTTGACTGAGAAACAGAGACATAAGACCCTCCACTGGCCTCTTGGCGAATGAAAGGTAGAACCTTTTACTTTCGGGGATTCAACAATTCCTTATGGACGATTAGGGGAGCAACAGTAATCACTCTTATTTCGGCTGTTGATCTACTTACATGGTGGATGATGAGCGTTGCGTGACATCATGCATGAGCCGAACAAATTTCTCAAACTTCGGCTTGTTTGCAATAAAAAATAAAAATGGTTAAAAATCTAAAATAGTACCTGACTGTACCTTTCAATTGAGAATGTTGTAGGTACTGTTTTAGATTTTTAACCATTTTTATCTTTTATTTATCCGACTGAGGATGGCTGAATTTTCAGCCGGAACGTTTTGGTTTTGTGCACGGGGAAAAAAAACACATTGGATCTAGAGTCCAGACTCTTAAAAACATCGACAAGAAAAAATACTCTTGATTAAATTAGATTTAAGCTTAAATCAAGAACCAAGCCTCTTAATTCAAGCGGATTTCGTTTTGATTCAATCAAAAATCCGATTGAATCAAGAATATGTTTTCTTGTCAATGTTTTCAAGAGTCTGGACCCAAGATCCAATGTGTTTATGTGTGTAAACTTTTAGCCTTGTTGCCCGCTTTTTAAATTGTTTTTTATTGTATTTTCGAGTGAAGTTTCCCTCAAAAAATGTGCTCAATTGGCTGTATTTCTTGCTTGCAACAGACCCATTTCATCCAAACAAAAATGGTGCAACGCGAGGGCGGGGGCGGGNGGGGGGGGGGGGGGGGGCTCTCGGAAGATCTGGTGCAGAGATACGGCGGGCATTGGTCTGCGGACACCTAGCGCCGGGCGGACGGCAGCAGGCTATTAGCCCAACGCGGCGCGGTTCCCGGTGTGGAAGCCGGTTGCATAACCGTTCTCGGCGTCGACGCGCACGTCTCACGTCCAGAACCGACGATGACGGCGGGCGCGCAACGCACCAAGTTCACACTTACGTCTTCATTAACGCCCCGACCAGACGCGCCGCATCAGCCCGTTGCCTTGCCACCCGAGGCGGGATATTCCGAAGACGTCGCAGCATGACTGCCTGCCTACGGGCTCATTGTTGAAATTGATAGACAGAGCAATAGACAAAGAAGAAATAGGGAGTACGGAGCTATTCTATTGGTTGGAATGGGTGGTTCTCATAGACTAAGGGAGTAAATGATGGACTATAAATGGAATGTATCGCAAGTTCTATCAAACGAGATATCGCGCAGGGTCGTCTTTTCATGTTGATGAAAATTGGGGTTCGTTTATTCGTTACCCCCTCTCTCCAAGAGGAGAGGATCCCCCTGAAAATTTTAAGGAGCCAAAAAGTAGCTCTCGTTGACCTAAGGACATCCCCCAAGTTTCAGATCTTTAGCTCGATTTGGTAAAAAGTCAAAGAACGGACTGGATTTTACGGGCACACTGTACACTAAAATATTTCATTTAGTCGATTTGAATAGAGTTGGACTAAAGTTAGTTGATTGGTCATATGGTACCGTGGGCTGATTATTGAAATTTATAGACAAAGTTAGAAATCGAAACAGAATGCAGTAGCGACATTAGCAGAAACAGTGGCGATCCTACTAGTTGAAACGGGTGGTTGTCTTAAACTAAGGGGGCTGTGCTGGACTAACTATAGTCTCTCCTGCGTTGCCTTTAGTTGGTAAATTGATTACCTCTTTTTCCATTGCAATCACCCGCCTCCACCAATAGAATCGCTCCATATCTTGGAATAGGTCACTGTCAGTTTGGGAATGTGTAAATTGTGCCTACTTTCCTACTCTTTCGTTAAAGTCTCCAAGATCCTCTACAATAGTCAATTGGTCATTCAAGATTATTGATTCGAAAATACCAAGTGGATGTTCAAAACATCCTCAGCTCTAGCAGTACCTTCTTGTTTAATGTTAGGTCATTCGATGGACGCCATATTTTGTGTCAGAACGGCATGCGATATATCGCATGAATTGGTTCCATTTTTTCAGCTACTCGTCATTTTTCTCCAATTTTGAGATCGCAATTCTGTTGTCAGGAGACTAAAGCACTCACTTGTCAATTTTAACAAAGAAATTCAACGTAATAAAGGCGTGGATTTTTAGAGAGAAAACATCGCATTCGATACTGATATCGAAACTGCTTTCGAATGCAATATTTTCTCTCTAAAAAAACCACGCCTTTATTACGTTGAATTTCTTTGTTAAAATTGGTTAGTGAGTGCTTTAGTCTCCTGAGAAAAAAATTGCGATCTCAAAATTAGAGAAAAATTACGAGTAGCTGAAAAAATGGAACCAATTGATGCGATATATCGCATGCCGTTCTGACACAAAATATGGCGTCCATCGAATCACCTTAAGCGTACATTCTTGTCAGTCACATAAAGCTCCGCAGAAACGGTCAATAAGTGCGTGAGCCCAATAAGTTTACAAAACATCGTATGTTGAATGAATTGCTTAACTTACTGTCTGCCGGCCACACGAGATGAAAGTGCAGAAGGTTGAGCCATTGAGCCCCGAAAGCAGAAGTTTTCACCCGTTACCAAGAGACCACCAAAAGCGTCTCTATATACCAGTGGCGTGGCGTCCTCTGCGATATATCGATTGTTATGCCATTTAAACCTATGGTAAATAATCGATTATTGGGGTGCTCGCTGCAAAAACCCTGTTTATCAATCCTTTTCCATAGGTTTAAATGGCATAACAATCGATACACCCCAAAGCACGCCACGCCACTGGTCTCTACTAATTTGTCTTTGTTAAAGTGAGAGACTCAAAGATCAGCGACCCTCTGACGTAAGGGTGTTTCTCAATTTCTACATGAACCCTGTTTTACGTATGAATCCAAGCTTTCTGAGGCTCAACTCAAAATCGAGATATGCCCTTACGTCAAAGGAGCGACGAAATATGACACCAATGAGCCGTAATCACCACACTGCTGACCAATTATGTCGTCAAAGAGTCGATGCGATGTTCCATTTGAAGCCTCCATTTCAAGTGCAGAATCTTGGCCTATGAGTTGATTTCAAGGATTAGCGGTAATTCTCGTCGGATGACGCCTCGTGGAAGATCACTCAATTTTGATTTTGTGTTTGTAAACAGAAAATTTCCTTTCCCCGTGGACAGTCACACATTTACACCTCCGGACATGTCTCGCCTGATGAATAGGAACAGGAGGAATGACTTTTTCTGTCTCCAACCCATAATATTCTTGGTGACTAGATTTACACGCAGTTTTGTCGGGCCTGTCATCTTAATTAAATAAATCGCGTGACCTTTGACGTGGCGTTTTCAATTAATGAGCGACTACAATGCCGTGCTAGGGAAAAACGCCGTATGAGCATTCGAGAGTTGCCGAATTTCCTTCGATAAAATGTTTATTTTGGAGGAAAGTTATAAATATTTTCCCTCGAAATTTTCAGGAACTTCAGGTGAAATTACGAACAAAATTATCTGAAAAATTGGAAAAAAAATATTCAGAAATTTACAAGAAGATTCTTGTTTTATCTAAGGAAATTTGGCAACGCCTTATGGCTCATACGACGTTTTTTCTAAGTTCGGCAGTACAGTTCAATTCGTTCTGTTCCTTAGTTTAACCATAAAGCAGCCTGAAACAAACGGGGTATCTGAATTATGACCCGGTGATAAGGTGCATTTTATTATCCGCAAAAAATTGAAGAGTAATGCTCATTGTTCTTACCTTGAGCGCCTCGTTTTCTTCAATTTCTATGTCCATTAACAGATTGTAACACGCGTTTCATTAAAGCTGTGCACGATGACACATTATATTTTGACCGGGGAACTTTTGTCTCTAGCTTGATTTTGCAACTTAGAAACTCAGGTCAACTTTGAGCCTCTCTATTTCCAAACCCGATTATAGATATGTCTGATAGATTCTCCTTGAATTGATTGTGTACGCTGTTGGTATGAATAGCTAGTGAATAATCGCTTTTACGGCGCACAGTAGATCGAGTCAATCAGAGGGGCCGGACGTGAAATTTTTAACTAAACCTGCGAATTTTGATGTATAATTCGTCACATTTTAAATTGTAAGGGGTGCTTCTATGGTCGGAAATTTCACGAGAAAACCCATGGAACCACTTTTAAAACCTCAAAGTTTTGTATAAATGGAGTTATAAGCGTTTAAAGTTTCCAAAGTTTGTACGACCTCTCCTATTGACTCGATCCACTGTAACCAGTTTCTAGGAGGGAGTGATGAGCGGGATGGTTAACCTTTTCATGTTTGCGCTGAGACTTTAATGAACAGAAAATCACCAAGTTTTCAAAGTGTGCCCTCGAGGGGGGGGGGGGGAGGTTCCTTATTTGTGTCGAGATAACAAGATAACATTGGTCCTCTACGATTCTAGCGTGGAAACAAATCCCGAAAAAATTAGAATTTAGAAGAAGAGATTTCAGGAGGTAGACCCTATTTCATTTCTTATTTTATTTAGTCATTTTCCATTTTTTTCTTGTTATGTGTGGTATTTGGATAGTACTGTGTGATTATACCGAGATTTTCAGTTTGAATCCAACAAGCTCCAATATTAAACTAATTACTCCATTATTCCGGAGCTATATTATAAGCTATGTTTAATAATTATCATCGCCTCCGGAGGATCTCTACCATGACAGATTTCTGTGGCAGGTAGGTGTCGTAGAGCGCCCTAGCGCGTCGTGAAAGCGACTTACACGTACATACTCAATTGTTCTTGAAACATTTAAAGACCTTTGCAAATTACATCAGCGGAAAACAAAACGCATTCCTGGTGGCACATCTTCGCTCATGAGAGCGCGTTAAATGGAGGTGTTACATGGCTGTACCGAAATGAAGCATTTGGAGTGGAATCAGATTTATAACGTCAATAAAATTGTACTCGCGGCTTACTCTCGCGTGAGGACCACGCTCCTGGTAAACTTGAACTTAGTAGTGCTAATCGAGGCATAAGTTCACTAAACTCGATGTTGCCAGCTGCCAGAAATATACAAAAGAATAGAATATATACGATTCTTTACAATTCAAATTTTTACAGAGAAAAACGACTTAGTAGAGTACACACGAAATCATAAACGTTACAACACACTGGAAAAAAACACATTGGAACTAGAGTCCAGACTCTTGATAATATTGACAAGAAAAAATACTCTTGATTCAATCAGATTTTTGCTGAATTCAAAAGGAAATCCGCTTAAATTAAGAGGCGTGGTTCTTGATTTAAGCAAAAATCCGATTGAATCAAAAGTATTTTTTCTTGTCGATGTTTTTAAGAGTCTGGACTCTAGCTCCAATGTGTTTTTTTTTTTTTTTTTTTTTTTTTTTTTTTTCCAGTGCAAACAAAAGTTCTACGGGTCAAACGCCTCGGTTATTTTAAGGCATTAAAAATCTTTTATTATAATAACCTAAAAATCAATCGAATCAATAATGAATAGATAAATAATAATATCAAATATTTACACACTTAAATGACCCATTAAATTGTTTATTCAAAATGTTGCTTGATATCATAGTTGGATTTTCTCTTTGAGGAATTCTCTAAAAATCCTGGTTTAAGTTATATTCTGCCTATTGAAACGAGTTTTTTCCAATTAAGCTAACAATCGCCGGATCAATCGTAAAATCTTAACTCTGAAGGGTCTTTCGCACCGTTTAACTATTACTTTAGTTATTAGGAAATACTTTGGAGTCGCTCCGCCGGGTTACGTATACTGATAAAAAAAAATTTAAAAAAAAAGGTTTAAATTACCTTCTCAATGTTGATCCGCATGGACTCTTAATTAATAGTAATCATCAGCTATATAAGTTGTTTCTTACCATTAAGTGATAATTTTATTCTCTATACGTAGGTCCTAATATTCTTTACTTACTACGAAATGTAGTGTGTTTAAACATATATGTGAGTTTCTAGACCACTGGAGATACATAATTTTTTTTATCCGTAACGTATTGGCAATCCTGGCAGCGGATGACGTCACGGAAGCGCAAGAGAGATGGTTCTCACGTGCCTTAGAATAGAATCATCGTGTGTTAGTTCAATCCCGAGGTTGACGTTTTCATACAACGTGCTAAAATCATTTGTGATTTAGGGAAAAAGACACACTTAAAACTTAGGGAGAAATGAGGTGACTGTCATTCAGACAAGACCCGAAGGTGCAATTATCCTCAATGAAATGGTAATATCTCTTAATGCTATAGGGAGGTATTACCCGTTCAAGGCTGTCCACCAGTGCGATCGGGTAATACTTAGGCGGAAGGAGAGGTATACTGTCTGAAACCCCCTTTAAATAGGGGGTCTGGGGCGACCACTTTTTGTCTTTTAAGTTAAGATTGAAAATATCCAAGAGTTTGAGCGAATCGTCTCGCAGGTTCTTTTTAATGCCAATTTTAGACTTTTCTCCCCAATTCTTCTCGTACTCCTGTAGATGTGAAAATGTAATGCTTACCGTGATGATTGGCCCATTGTGTTTCTCATGAGATTTGTATTCGAATCGCAAGTCTCCTCATCCCTGCAGGAACTCCATTTTTCCATTCAGTTCATCTTCATCTCGCTCCACCCAATTCGAAAATGTTTGGATCGTGTTAATTTAATTGATACGTTATGAATTACTGGCTCTGTTTTCATTCATTTTGCATAAACACTTATGTCGTTTCCTTTTAACTTTCTTCTGTTTCAGCACAACTTTTACATCAAGGCTTGAAATATCTAGAACTGCAGTACTGACGATGCCTGACCTCATGACTGCCTCTGCATGCACTTCAGAGGACCGGAGGAACCTATTCCTAGCGACATTTTTCAACCTTTTACATTAAACATCCAACCCTCGTCTACACTACCTATATCTACCTATAGATCTAGAATACAATCTAGCATACATCAATTGAGACAGAATGAATAAAAATCTGTCGCAATAAAAAACATTTCTCGGTCGAAAAACTATCTATCCAGGCTGACCTTGCGTTTTAATACTTTAAAATAACCGCCTGAAAATTCTTCTGTAAAAATGAATGAATAAACGAATATTATGCGTGCATACTTTCGAATTTTTTAATCTTTCCTGGTGTTAAGTTGCTTTCGAGAAGCCGATTGTAAAAATCATAACGAACTAAATGGGTATTTACCGCCTAAAATCCATGAAAAAAGTTGAGCGAAGCCTCAACCTACAATTGATTGGGGCACAAAAAATTGAAGAGGAGTGCACCGATGAGTCAAATGTAAAAAAATGGTGCTTTGATTAACGTATGACTAGAAAAATCGAGAAATTTTGAAAAATCAAGATATCTTTTATCGAAAACATGCAAAACTTCGTATATTTTCAAAACTTTTGAAGAACTGACTTTACTGGTCGTTTGACCGAAAGCCCCATTCGACCTCCAACAAATTTATTCTCTCGGGCGCACAAGAGGAATGTGACAATCATTTCATTTACATTATTCTGTTCATTATCATATTTGAATTGACCTGGGGACTTGCCCGACAAAACTGAAATATCATCACTGGTGAAACATCATTGCTTGTAGGATCATATTTGATGGCCATCAGGTACTGTCGCCCGTGGAAAATTGTACTTACTACTGCGTCTCACGCAGTGGCGTGGCGTGAATTGCGATTTATCGATTGTTATGCCATTTAAACCTATACAGAATCGATAATTAAGCTGCTCGCTGCGAACACCCTCTTTATCGATCCTTTTCCATAAGTTTAAAAGGCATAACAATCGATAAATCGCAATTCACGCCACGCCACTGGTCTCACAGTAGATGTGCTAAACTCAATGAATCTTCTGTGAATCACCAGTGCTTTTCCGAAATGATTGAGCTGCTTATTCCGGTAAAATTTGCCTTCAATGAATCTGTTATGCAACGCGCACTTCCAGTTGCATGGTTCTAATCTGGAACTCCCAGGCGTTACCGTCTTCCATCGTACTTGGTGGCAATTTTTCAAGTTGGCATCACTGTTTTTTCTCCGTTTGAATCCATTGAAAAAATCGATTTTAGGTATGGCGAGCTACCTTACCAAGAATCGATTGTTTTACATACACTTAAATGGTGGGAAAACAGTGCTGCCAATTTTCAAGAATCGCCACTGATCACTTTATGTGGAAGTAGTCGTAGGAGCCTCCGGGAGTTACAAAATTATCTTTGATAAAACACCCATTTTTTTAATACTTCGTTAATATGTTGCTTAAACCACTTTTTCAGAGAACTTTGTCCGCAATAAATCTAAATAATCTCAAAATTTTAAGAAAAAATATTCATGGCTTTCCTAAAAAATGAATATTTTATGAATGGAAATTTGGCAGCATTCGAATGATCATACGACATTTTCCTTATTGTCAGTAAGAAAGCACTGCCACCTAAAGATCATCAGGTATGTAAGAACAGGATGATGGATCAAGGCGTTAAATATCATTTGTGATAAAACAAATGGAGTTGTTCCAACAATTATACTGCTTCCAGCGAGCTGCAGACATTGATTTTTAAGAGGAAGCAAGTAGAAATGTTTCAGCAACGTTTTATCATAATTTTGTGACGGCGCACCGTTCAATTTTCAAGATTCTAAAATATATAGCTTACGAAATATTTCGGTGCTTATTTTCTGCCTTGTTCTGCAGCTACGTGGCCTGAATCTTAATTTTCCTTCAATTTTATAGGTAGGCAAGTGATCTTACATCGGTTCCACACTGCACCAGCGCTACCGTGATAGCAAAGAGAGCAGTAAAAGTCAAATTTTTAAAATCGAGTTTCCGTCAAAATTCGTCTAATCTCGTTTGGATGAAATCACTAGCTCAAACAGCAAAATTCATCTTAATTGTATAAATTCGAGACATATAAGAAAGCCGTAAGTGCGCAAAAAATGATGCAGTTTCAGACAAGACAGCAGTAAGTGACATTATTCCTCCAGAGAGCCAATGAAAACAGTGATTTCAAGTACCGCTCTCTTCACTGGAAAAAAACATATTGTATCTAGAATCCAGACTCTTGAAAACATTGACAAGAAAAACTACTCTTGATTCAATCAGATTTTTGATTAAATCAATTAAAAGGAAATCCGCTCAAATTAAGAGGTTTGATTCTTGATTTAAGCAAAAATCCAATTAAATGAAGAGTATTTTTTCTTGTCGATGTTTTTAAGAGTCCGGACTCTAGATCCAAAGTGTTTTTTTCCAGTGTTTTGCCAATTTCTAACAAGAAAATGTCTTTGTTGTTTGTCCAAAACGCAACCACGAAAGCATGCAGAAGACAGCACTTACGGCTGTCTTGCCTAGCATTAGCCTAACATGAAAATGAATAATAACCTTTTCATGTAATTGAAACAAAATCTGTCGTTTTTCAATCATCCGAACGGTTCTAGGAGTCTTTCGGACGATTAGTGGTAATTTGACAAAGGACGGATACTTCTTTCGATAAAATTTTCCGGTCAGACACCTTTGAGCCCGTCTTCTCAAAACTTCATTTTTGTATACTTACTGCTCTCTTCGCTATCAAGAGAGAGCGCTGATGCGCCGCCATACCACACATCGCGGTCGCCGCGCCGCGCCGCGCCGCGCCGACTCGCCGACTCGACCTGTTGCCTCCGCGCCTTCAATTAAAGATGATGCCAGTATGCATACACGAACGCTGAGTTCCGGGAATCGAAGGAGAATCATACCTGCGCAGTGTGCGGTCCACGAAACTCGTGCTTGTGTCTGGTGAGTTGATGCCATCGCTAACTTACGTGTCCTCGACAATCTATTCTTCTCCCGATGATATTTATCAAACATTTTGACAGCTTCTCAAAACAAGTTTGTTCTAAAGATGTTTCCTTCTAATCTTTAAAGACCAAACTGTTAGGAAATGATTAAAAGAAGAACTTCCTGAAAATAACTTGGGCACTTTGTGTGATGGAAAATTCTTAAATGTCGAAAACATCTTTCTCGAATTTATTTTTAAAATGAATAAATGAGGAAATTTAGAAAATGTTCTTGAAATCCCATTTATAATAAATAAATTATTGCAATAGTTAAAATGCAAAACTCCAGAGGCATAAAAGAGAGGCCCCCGCCCCGGTTCGAGCCATAGCCTCTCAAATTTTTGGGAAAAGAATTCTTCTCTCTATATTTTGGTGACAGTTGTGGACCAAAACTTATGAATAATAGCAACCCCAATATTTTTAGCGGTAAATTCATTCACGGGTTCAGAAATTGTAATAATACCCATTTCATCCAATAAGCCCCTCCAATCTTTCTTTAACTTGACATTTTAATATTTTTGAGACTGTGGATGAATTCTGCACTGAAAGTCGTGGAGTCGTATGAGATTTATCGATCCACAATCGTCGCTGAAGTTCAGAATGAAACGATGATTTTACCAGTGAGTAGGAAGATCGTAGCAATACACTTTTTAAAACACGCATCGTGGCGCCACACGCCGGTTTCTGGTAACAATTCGGGCCTTGCGCCAGAGAGTGTGGCGCTACGCACCAGCCAAACTCATAGGCCGAAAGTCAACGTTAAACTGAGCTTAGTGGCAGCTTGCACCAGCAAATAAGCGGTTTTAAAATTAAGGGACCGATGTGCTACATCCATCTGCTATGGTCTGTGGCGAATTTTAGTAGGAAAAACTTGACTAACAATTTGAGGGTTTGGCCGGAACCTGGCGCCCCATTCTGTGGCGAAGGGCCCGGATTCTTACCAGATTCCGGAGAGTGGCGTTAGAGATAATATTATTTATGTTCTTAATGTTATAATGATGTAATGTTATTTATACACCATTAACACATAAATACGTTAGAAATAGCAAACAAATTCTAAAACTTCTGCACAAAACAGGTCTCTATCACCGTTTCAAAATTACGGCCGATCATAGTTTTGACATTGTCAACTTTTTTGTGCCGTTATTTGGTAACAGTGATAGATAGAGACTCCCGGTATTTGCCGAAAGTCTTTGATGTGTGCTCTTACTGTCAGCATATCATTAAATAGGAACTTAAATTGCGCTTGAAAAAAACAAAGTCAAGGTCCACACCGCCCCTCAGAGGGGATGGGAGGTCCCTCGAAATTACTTGGTAGCCAAAAAGTAACCCCCTTGGACTTAACAACACTCCCAAAGTTTCAACTTGATAAATTAATTGGCAAAAAAGCTATGGGAATGGTAGGTGCCTTTCGGATAACCCTGTATATACTGGTCACATTACATGAAACTATGCTTTACTTCCTTTGTCGAAACTCTTAAACCAAACTGAACTGAACTGTAGAAATATTTGGGTAACGGTTGTGTAAGGTTCATTTTACAGAATTCGTAATTCTGGTAAAAGAACTGTGCAGATCATCTGCAAAGGGTTGGACCACCGAGTTTCCAAGGGACAGACTTTCAGATGTGTTTTAGTATGCAAATCTTACCATTATGGTATCTCTCAAGTGGGTGATTATCAATCTTAACAGAGCATAATAGCGTTACTGAACATTGAACAAGGCGAGCGGTGATCTCATGCCGGTGCACAAAAATCGCCTTCATTACGGTTAATATGCAACCCCACGACCGTCGTGTTAAAATAGTTATCTCTCAGAGATTAAGGGGCCCAAGCACGTCCTATGTAAGGATAATTGGATTGCATCTTAAAAAAAGGAACCAAGAGCATTCTAATGTCGCTTAGACTGTGCAACTTTGTTTTACCTTGCAATTATAAACTGATCATCTAAACAAGTTTTATCTTTACTATCCCCGATAAACTATAAATTCAAGAAGAAAATTACCCTTGTAAATTTAATTTTCTGCATGGTTTCAATACTCTTATTGCAAATAATGTAAGTTGCACAATCCTACAGCAACATTCGAATGCTCTTGGTTCCTTTTTGCAAAATACAATCCAATTATTCTTCTAAGATTTATGGAGGCTCTTTCCGTCCATCTTTTGATAGAATAGAGAAAATTTTTGTTTCCTAGTGAGCAAAAATTAATCCATCCTCACTGGTTACATTAAAAGACAATTGCGAGATAACAAATACCATCACAAAATTTATAAATACTTACGGCGTGGCGGAAAGGGCCCAAACTACTTTGCTTCGTATATCGGACAAGAAATTCAGTGCTTATTTTAGCGAATTTTGTAAAAAGGAACCATGAATATTGATACTTTGTTCGTTCTTGAGAACATTAAAATACCAATACAGAATACAGTGTGTCAGTATATCACAGTTTGGAGCATCGGGTTTTTTCTTTCTTTCTTTCCTTCTTTAAACACACAGAGGTGTAAATGGCCTTAGATGCTAAAGCACCGCTTCAAAATAAACTTATCTTATTATACTACTACTATTCTCGAGGAGTCCGATGAGTGATACTACCCATTGTAAGAAATAATTTTAGAGATTGAAAGGACAATAACACTTTTGATGTGATATTACCATTACTTACTTTTATACTTTCTTGTTTTCTTCCTTTACTCAGTTGCCTCCCTTAGCTTACGTAACTCATTAACTTAACTTTACCTACCTTACTTTTAATTTTCATAGGAAATGTAAAGTTCAATTTCTTTTCACTAAGGTTCACATATTTTCCTTACAATTGTTTGGTAGTGTAGTTCATCAACCATAAGCTGAATTCCCCCATTCATTCTTACGGAGCTAGACTAATTGGCACATCCCTTCTTTCTGACCTGTCTCTGGTTCCGTTTGGCAGAAATACGTCTAATAGCGTTAAGCGTTTACCAATCCATTTAGGCCCCATCGCATTCGCTTTACCTGTGACTTTTCCTAAGGAACTGCCAGGAACATACCCCTCCGACTATTGAATAATAGAATTCCAGCTATTGAGCAAATTGTCCTGTCTGAGTAGGATTGCGAGTGGAGAAACAAATATGCGCTGTTCGGATCAGTGTTGCAAAATTGAAGCTGAATCTTTACTTGATTGGTAACACTGCGCAATACTCCACGTGCAAATAGCCCATTTTTTGCACTCTCCTCTCATTCTCCTGTTAGACCAAGAGCCAATATAAACACAAATACGTCATATTGAAGTGCACACGTGTGCAGCTTTTGCTTATCCCTAGGGCTATAACGACCGTGAAGAAATGTGGAGATGCCTGAACCGGAGGAGCTCATAAAAAGATGTTCTGCAAATGCCTCAAATGCTGCTGCCAAACCGATCTGCGCCAACGTGGCCCCTAAAAATTGCCTTTCCCCCTCCCCTTTAAAAAAATCATAATTTTTCTGTTTGGTGATTTTTCGAAATTTCCCCTAAGTTACAGTTACTAGTTCTGTAACTAAAACATTTTGCGTCTAACTTTTTACTAAATGCGCCGTGATATACAGGCAAAATTTCAATCTGGCCCCTAAAAAATCCTCAATGGCCCCTAAAAATCGAGCTTGATGCGCCACATGGCTCCTGAAACTCAAAGATGAGTTTCGAACACTAAATAAAACCCAGCCCTACTCGAAGCATCCATGCTGTCGTGCTACGGAAAAACGTCATATGAACGTTCGAGAGTTGCAAAATTTTCCTCGATAAAATGTCCATCTTCGAGGAAAGTTATAAATATTATCCCTTGAAATTTTCAGGACCTCTCGGTGGAGTTGCGAGCAAAATGATCTATAAAAAATTTAAAGGAAAGTTTCACTGGAAAAAAACACATTGAATCTAGAGTCCAGACTCTTGAAAACATCGACAAGGAAAAATTCTCTTGATTCAATCAGATTTACGCTTAAATCAAGAACCAAGCCTCTTAATTTGAGCGGATTTCGTTTTGATTTAAGCTTAAATCTAATTGAATCAAGAGTATTTTTTCTTGTTAATGTTGTCAAGAGTCTCGACTCTAGATCCATTTTTTTTTTTTTTTTTTTTTTNTTTTTTTTTTTTTTTTTTTTTTTTTTTTTTTTTTTTTTTTTTTTTTTTTTTTTTTTTCCCAGTGTTACCAGGAAATTCGAGTTTTATCAAAGGAAATTTGGCAACGCCTGAAGGTTCTTACGGCGTTTTTCCTCATCACGGCAGCATGCTCGGCGAGCAAGAGCAATGCTTCGCTCTGTGCCCTCTCCCTCTGCCTCCCGTGCGGCAATGACCCTGATCCTGATCCTCGGAAAAAGGGAATTTTCCTCGCCTTAATCGGCAACACCGGAGCATCTCGCGGCTGCAGTCGCGGCGCCTAGCGGCCGGACGCCATGTGTCAGTCACTCCTCAACCCCCCGGTTACTCGCTTCCTCTGCGGTCCACTCGGAATCAGGAAACGTGGAATCAAGAGTTTCAGTGTAAAACTCTGGCAGTTTCGTTTGTGTATCACTCCCGACCGGTCGTGGGTTCGTTACGGACGCTTACGGAAACTTGGTAACGCAGCAATAAATTGCGGAGTACTCTTAGTGTTAACCCTCGCAGTAACGTTTGACTGTTCGACGTTGGGCTCGAGTGTGTTCTCGGTCGCTTTTTACGGACTCTTGCGGAGCTCATACGGACCCCTGCGGAAATCTTCTGGAGCCAAGGAATGAGAATTTCAGGCTTTTGATCAAAGTGAATTGATTTCATTTCACACTGGAAAAAAAACACATTGGATCTAGAGTCCAGACTCTTAAAAACATCGACAAGAACAAGTATTCTTGATTCAATCAGAATATAGCTTAAATGAAGAACCAAGCCTCTTAATTTAAGCGGATTTCGTTTTGAATCAAGCAAAAATCCGATTGAATCAAGAGTATTTTTTCTTGTCAATGTTTTCAAGAGTCTGGACTCTAGATCCAATGAGTTTTTTTCCAGTGCACACACTAATGCCTAGCTTGAAAAAACACGTTTATCACTCTGCCGTGCTAAGGAAAAACGCCGTATGAACCTTCAGGCGTTGCCAAATTTTCTTCGATGAATCACCAATTTTCGGGTAAATTTGTGAAGATTTTACCTCCAAATTTTTCGATAATTTTGTTCTCAATTTCACCGAAAGTTCCTGAAAATTTCAAGGAGAAATATTCATAACTTTCTTCAAAAGTAAATATTTTCTGAGAGGAGATTTGGCAACTCTCGAATGTTCATACGGCGTTTTTCCTTAGCACGGCAGTACTTTGGTCGCAATGCTGCTACCTTTGCTTGTAGTTCTGCATAAAAATCAGATGATATTTGGACTGCGTTTAGCAGAAAGGAACCGAGCCACATCATCTATTGCCAAATTCCACTGGGCAATTCAATTTTTTTCAAGAGAACAGTAAGAGAGCAGTAAAAGTCAAATTTTCGAAATCGAGGTTCCTTCAAAATTCGTCTGATCTGCTCCTTTAGATGAAACCACTGAAACAGATAAAACAGCTAAATTCATCTTAATTGAATAAGAACAAGACATATGAGAAAGCCGTAAGTGCGCAAAAATGACGTAGTTTCAGGCAAGACAGCAGTTAGTGACATTATTCCACCAGTCGAGAGCCAATGAAAACAGTGCTTTCGAGTAAAGTACCGCCCTCATCTGCGAATTTGTAGCCTGAAAATGTGTTTGTTGTGTGTCCGAAACGCAACCACGAAAGCATGCAGAAGATAGCACTTACGGCTTCCTTGCCTAACAATAGCCTAGCATGAAAACGAAAAATACCCTTTTTATGTAATTGAAATAAAATCAGTCGATTTTTAATCGTTATAACGATTTCTAGTGAATCAATCGGACGATTAGTGGCAATTTGACAAAGAACGGAAGATTCTTTTAATTCAATTATCCGGTCAGGAGCTTCTGAGCCCGGTTTCTCAAAACGTCATTTTTGCACTCACTGTTCTCTTCGCTATCACGGCAAAATGGGCAATAAATTTCATCGTTGCACGAAAATCGTGCGCACCGAACGTAATGCCAATGAGGACTAAGGTGCAAGAAAGAGACCTAATGGATTAACTTTAGGTGGAATAACACTATCTACTTAGCACCTAAATATCCATGATCGTGTGTTCTTGTGCGGTTGAGGGCCCAAGCGAATGTATATAGTATTATCATGTAGACACGTGTGGAGGCCATTCGGTCATTTGTGGTCAATAGCTTAAGCCCCGCACAGTAGATCGAGTCAATCAAAGAGGTCGAATTTAAATTGTTTGACGAAAACTGCAAATTTTGATGTTTATTTCGTCAGATTTCAAATCTCGAGGGGTGCTTCTAGCAGAAAATTTTACAAGAAAATCAATGGAGCTACTTTTAAAACCTTAAAGTTTTGTTTAATCGGAGTTGTGAGCTTTTAAAGTTTCCGAATTTTGTCCGACTTCTTCCGTTTGGTCGATCCACTGTGCGCCATGAACAAAATTGACCTCCTCGGTGCTACCTTGCTCCAATTCTAGAAAAAAGGGGATCTCTAATTGAAGTCGAGAGTATGAAAAATCAACAGTTGATTGAATCTTTTCTCACAAGATTCGCTGTTCAACCAAAACTCGTTGTAAATGCGGGTGATTTTTGTGAACATTTGCTATGATGCCTGCTTTCCGAGATTGATGCATTATGTGGGAAGACTTCAAATGTCGTTTCTTGTCAACAAAATTTTTTTTTTTTTTTTTTTAGTTAAATCTGTAAAGTCATTTTTTGTTTTTTTTAGTTCAAGAAACGTTGTTTTGTTATCGTTAGGTTTATGTTAAGATAGCGATATCTGACAAAACATCGTTTCTTTAATTAAAAATCAAAATTTGTTGACAAGAAACGACGCTTTAAGTCCAAACAAAACTCTCGCCGTTTGTGCTTCTTCAAAATTTTGGTTTCAAGTTTTTTTATTTAATTATTTTCCACGTAGCTACGTTTGTATACGTGCTTTGTATATGTGCTTAATGGGGGTAATAACTTCGAAAGTTCCGAATAGTTCCTCCGAAAGGAAAGGTGTTTGGCAGAGTCGTTATTCGGATTACCCTCAATGAAGAGGGCAATCTACAAAAACAGAGAAATAGAAACGGAAATGGGGAAAAGAGCGGAATCGGGTTTTTTTTTTCTTTCACTGCCAGTGTGTGGTAAGGGAAAACTCAAGATCGATAAACTAGGTCAGTCCGTTTAGAGCACCCATATTTTCCCGATTTTCCCGATCTGCATGAGAACAATGTAATCGGATCGGGAGAACAGCAGAGTGGGACAAGGAAATCGAGGAAAACTTCTGGCAACGCGGACAATCCTCACCCTCGTTTTTCAAAGATTATTACACTCAACTTTCCCAACGGACTGACCTATACCGATAGGCCCATCGACCTTGGGGAAAACTTGCTCAATGTAGCGTGGAGCAAAGTATAGGAACATTTTGAATGAGAAGATCTACGTCGAGGTGACAAAAAATTCAACTGTTCTTATCTCAATGTTCACGTTACCATAATGCATATTGTTCCAGCGGATTATGTAAGGTCATTTTCCGTGGTTTTCGAGTAAAATGCGTGCGTTTAGACCGCGCCTGTTGCAGGTTTTTAAGGCCCATCACAAACTCTGCATCCTGAGCTTGAGAACACCAATTTATTCCTCGTGCTGAGCGATTGACTCTGTTTACATTTTGAATTTGAGACTTTTGTCCGGGCATCTGAAAATTCACCACGAAGTCAAGACACGCACTCAGTATAGGAAACATTCGTATAGTAATGTCTTGTATAAAATTTTCAGCTTCTATATCACGAACGATGAATATCGATGGTGAAATTCCCAAAACACGTATCTCCGTTTGCATTTAATCATCATCGGTCATTTTTTAAGTGAAAAATCGCCCACCGTTAAATGTTTAAAACTTCCACGGTTTTTATTCCATTTGCGAAGAGAATGTTGTGAAAACTTCACGGAATGACGTTGATTTGCCCTCCTTCAAAAAAATAAAATGGGCGCGGAGATTTTAAAGTACACTGAAAAAAAATTCTCGGCGTTTTTACCAAGGTCCGTTGGTACGTTTACCATCCCTTTTTTTCCAATTATTGGTAATTTTACCAAGACAGACTGGCAAGCTTACCTAAAAACCGGTATTTTTACTGTTTTTTCAGGTAAGAATACCACTTTTATTGGTAATCAATTCCCGGTAACTTTGCCATTTTATCTCGGTAATTCTACCACAGTCGATAAAAAATATGGGCTTTTTTACCAATGTCCAGTAAAATTACCGAGAAAGTTCAATCCATAAATTCCAATTGTTGGATGTCCAATTCCATAAATTCCAATTGTCACCAGCTTCATAAATGGTAATTTTACCAAGAAATAACTGGGATCAAATAGAACACTGAATTCTTGGTAATTTTACTCTTTTCTTAGTAAATACACCGAGATTTTTTTTTTCAGTGTACTACAAACGAGATACGTGATTTGAACGTATTTCTGTCAGACGAAACTATGTGCATTAAGACATGAGCCCTGAGACCTATGAGAATATATGCATAACAGGGCTCACACCATGATGCGCGAAGTTCCGTTTGGCAGAAATACGTCCATTGCGGAGTTTCGCTGTCGATGTGTAACTTCGTCATTCTTCCCGCTCCTCTGAAACTTGTTGAAAGCAAAATCCGGATGCTATATCTGTTTCCATATGCAGTATGTTCCGACAACTGACAACTCATTATCTTGGCGTGATAGGCACGTTCAGAGGGTGATTCAAAATTAAACACGATCATTTCTGGAGTCAAGTCCAGGGCCGGATTTACCTACTTGCCGCCGATGGGCCGCCTGTATTTTGCCACCCCCTTCTCATTCGTTTTGAAACATCAATAAAAACCATCAAGTGAACGTGCCGGAGGGGGAGGGGTGCATAAGACGCGTTTACTCGTGTTGGCAACATTTTTTGGTAAAGCCCTGTTAACACTACTGGCAAAAAATCACCGAACTTTGCGCGCACGTTAAGTTTCGTAAACCTATCTCTGCGTGGAAAAGACCTTCCATTCATAAGAAATTAACGAAAAAATTATGAGAGAACGAACATAAATGTGCTTTAATGATTTTAACTTCCGCCGCCGCGCCGCGCAGACCGCACCGTGTTTGGAGCAATGCGTGAAGTATTCATGCATTCTTGTAGGCGCTATCCGTTTCACGCTGACCGCAGTGACCGCACTACTGTGTTTGATGCAATGCGCGAAGTATTCGTGCAGTCATGTAGGCGCTAATATGTGTTACATGCCGACCGCCGCGCCGAGGGCTTCTCCTTTACATCTCAAGTCCTCGTCATCATTTCTCTCTCAGTCGCGCCGCTCCTGGCCAAATTGCGTGTTTGGTCTTCTCTTCTTAACTCGATTAATTAAAGGTGCTGTCTCTTGTATTACCGAAAGACGAAAAAATTAGAAATTACTGTACTCTCAGGAAATGAGAGATTTTGTTTGTACTTTCATGCGGTATATAGCATCGATTTCGTCAAAAATCTTGGCAGATTTTGATTTTTAGCCAAAAAAAGGACGATAGCCCCTGCGTATGAGCTTAAAGAATCATTCTAAAATGAAAGCAGAGTCCTGTTTGGAAAAAAACCTCGCATTCGATACAAAGATCTATATTTGTGCCTATCGAATGCGAGGTTTTTTTTCCAAACAAGATTCTTCTTTTCATTTCCCTACATTATGCCAATGTATTG